ATGGGATATCCCAATAAGCCTGGACTGCCACATGCCACGTCTCTACTTATTACCGTTATACTGAACAACCAGCGTGGACGAAGCCTTCCCGGATTTCCGCAGCTCCGTCGGCTATCGCTGTGGGACAGCCCCAGGGCCGGAGCTCCCGGGCAGGGACATGGGCGAGGACGAGGACAGGGGCGAGCAGGAAGGCAGTTGCTGTCATTGAACATCATTCCTTGCTCCAAAATAAAGCGGGAGAAGTGCTTAAAATCACAGTTTTTGCAGGTGTTGCACAGCAGCTTTCAGCACCGTCGTGCTGAGCAGCCCCATAGCCAGCGTGGAAAGTAGCAAAAGCTGCAAAACTTGCACCTGGGTCGGCTTTTATACAAATGCTACATTTCAATTGAAGCTAAACATTACTCTGTAGGTCATTTAAATAAAGAATCCCATTATTTATGTCATACTTAAGAGGTTTGGGAGCTTTTTGCATCACCGTTTCCTTCCAAGCTGCACACAGAACCAGGTCTCCTCAGTTTCTCACAGCTAAAAAAAGGGTTTTTACAAAAATTAGATAGGAGCATTTTTATTACAATACCCACAACTATTCAAGTCAAATTAAAAAAAATAGTATTATAAAAGTAATAATAAATAAACAAAACAGCCAATGGTTTCCTCAGTGATCACCCGCCGCGCGTAGCTGCTGCTCTCCAAGCTTCAGTCCCGGCCGTAAGAACAAACTGCAGCACGGAGCAAATCCACGCAAAGCACCTCGCGTGCCCAAAGCAACCGCCACAAATCCCGGGAACTCCAGTCCAGAATTAAGCTTAAATCCAGACATACCTAAAGCACTGAAGCACACAGCTGGGCGCTACAAGGACGGAGCGCTACATCCCAGCAGCCGCAGCCAATTTCTATTAGCAACCATCATCTCCAGCCCAAAAAGCAGCAAAAATATCTCCTCCCACGTGCCTCATCCACAAGATTTTCTCTTTTTAAGGCCAACTGCATGGGATCTGGTGCTACCAAACCTTTCTGCACCTAAGGAGAGCAGGGCTGCTGCTGAAGCGCATTCAGAGGTGCTTCGTGTTCTTCAGGTCAGCAT